GCCAGTTCCTTGCCTTCTTCTCTGCGTGGGTGGGCAAACTATTTGGCTTTAAAATTGTCAACTCATCTCGACGAGTGTTTTTGCCTGCAATAATAACTGAATGATAAAGTTTTCCTCTGAGAGTGGGTAGAAAGGAACAAATTGGACACAACTCGAAGTCCAATATTATAGAACATGAGCATAAGAGACCGGCAATAGCTTTTAACGACTAAGTGCCTAACGTTAGGTTTCGATAATTGAAATTATTGTAGGTCTCGATAAAAGTTCAAGGACTTATTTAAAGATAAATCTTTTCTGAAACAACTATACGGATTTAAAAGTTGATTCATATTTTTCCTTATATTCGCAATTTAAAAGTCTTAATACCATTTATTTAATGCATTTAAATTATTATTTGTAATTTTATATACCAAAAATTACTTTGTGCAAAATGCCAATTATGGGAATACTCTAAACTATTCAGGCGATTAAATTGAACATTTGTCGCCGGAATTTAATCACATTTTGGCTGCCTCCCTACGGTTGAATGGATGGAAATTGAAACTGCAATCGCACAGGACGTCAAAGAGACGTGTAGAGGCTAATTAAGCCTCTGAGGTTGCCCAAGTCAGAGTGACATGCCGCAATCGGCGTTTTGATTAAATATTGACCCCAATCGGCCTGTTGACCACGTCTTCGCGGCTGGCTATCGCTGCTGCCTGCAAACAATTACGGCTAAATTCATTAGTGAGTCATGCATAATTAAGGGAACAGAACCAGCCGTGACACCTCAATGGTGGGCAATCGGGTGTCCTTTGGGTGGGATGATGCATAAGTGGTTGGGGAGTGGCGGAGATGGAAGGAAGGATGGAGAGCGTTTGATCAGCTAAGGCATAAAAAAGAAATCAATGTCCTCGCAGGAAGTGCCTTGGCAATTTGCAATCCTTTGTGCCATTACACAAAGCTTCCGCCGTCTGGTCGTGCTCCTGGTTTGCTCTGGGTTTTGGATCCTAGTTGGGTTTAGCCTGCAGCTAAACGCCGCTGCAATCAAAACGTGGCGTTAGTGTTTCAAACCAGCAGAAGCAGAAGCAAAAGCAGCAGGAGCAGGAGCATTAATCCTTCATTGGCAATCAGGAACCTGTGATGAACTCGCTCTGCCCTTCGAAACGGAAGTTGTAAAAACGCCAACGCCGCACAAAGCAAACACGAAGGGTATTTTCGGTGCCTAGCGGATGGCTGGCGGCTTCCCTTTTCAAAGAAGATGGGGGCTAACCAGTGGCACGGAACCGATTATAGTATTCCGTATTTGGATTCTGATTCTGATTCACATTCAGATTCAGATCCGCCCTGGGGGCATTCGTCAAACGACGCATCAACCGAGGCAATTGTTTCGCCAAGTTTCTTTCTCGCTTTCGCTTTGTTCATTATGTACTTTCTGCTCCTTTCAGTTCAGTTCTTTTATACTCGACTCGTCTCGTCTCGTCTCGTTTCGATTCGTTTGTCCTTGGTCCTTGGTGGGAGCAAAGGGGGTTATTCGGGCCAGAGGATGTGGCATAAGCACTGATTGATTGATTAGAGGCTTGAGTCGCTGGAGCAGGAACGCAAGTGCTCGACTCGCACGGGGCACTAAACCTAATGAGGAGCCCTCCAGCAAGTGTCGCATCAATCAAGGACGCATTTAATGCGTTATAAGTGTGTGTGTATGATAGCAACGATTTCTCTTGATTTGCGATTATTGTTTAGGTGTATATGCTTCGTCTGACAGCCGGCGATTAGCAAAGTGGATCAGCAGAATGAATGAGTTCTAGGACCGCCGCCACAGCTGACTGAATCCTTTAAGTGGATTTCATCTTAAAGCAGGCCTAGTTTCCCTTGCAACAATTCCAATTTCCCCTAGCTCGAAACTTTGTCGACGTTGCCGGCTCAAGTGTCGGCGATTGGCATCAATAGCTCCGAAATCGATGGTAACTGGACATCGGGCAGAGCTTACCTGCTGCTGGCTCAGCACATTGGCATGACAAGGCTTCCGCATTAGATACCGGTCAACAACTGTTCTCCTGGAACAACTACATGCACTACAAAAATCATCAATGAAATCTATAAAAAAAAATATATTGGAGACGTTTCAGAGTTATTTTTCCATCGAATGATAAATTGGACATCGAGTCCTATTAATAAATTCAGGGATAGGTTTTTCTTTTTGTTTATAAATGCATCCGGATTTCACCAACTTAAGATCTCAATATTTAAACACAAAAATATTTTAAATTTCTATATCTCTAAACTCTAAAGTCTTTTTACTTCGAATATTTTTCTTACATGAATGAATTTTAATAGAATAGAATATTTGTATAAATTCAAATGGTATATATTTATTCATTCTTTTCTATTGGCACAAAGACAGAGTTTTAAGTGTAACTGTTGTTACACATACACCAATCGACTTTATTCTGCGAACTATTTCATGTCATTCCAGAAAATCATATCAATTGGCTCGGCCACCGGTTTTCAACAGTCAGCATAGCATGATGACTATGAGGATATACGAATGGGTTTGCTGACTTGCCATTCCCTCCTATTCCATTTCAACTTCATCTATATCTATATCCCCGCGTGGAGATACTTTTACCCCTCCATCGCTTTTTGTAGCCCACTTCGTGACTGTCTGTTGCCCCCATGGCAAAGTGCTCATTATCAGCTGAAATGTTGTCAATTACGGATTTTCGTTTGTTTTGTTTTGATTTGACTTTCAATTGAATTTCTCCTCGGAATTTGAATATCCGGCATTGTCCTTTGTCCTTCCTTAACGTTGCCATCGTCACGAGCGGTTGCCTCACCAAGAATCCAAATCCGCCGAGCCCCCAACCCGCGATTTTCCCATTAAGTTGAGCGCCCTCTTTTCAAAGCTGACTGCTTATGATGAGCTGGCTTCTTATTGGTAAACTGCAAACTTTGTACATAAAAAATTAATTTGATTATTTTTCCCCAACGCTTAGATTTGCGTTAATGACGCCATAATCAACTGTTTTATAGCACTTTAAAAAAGTTAATCCAGCACATATACATGCACTGTACATTTTATTAAGCTGAGCTGTAACTTTTTTAATTACACCGTTTTCGTGTCTGAAGGGCGAATTTGTTGCCACTTCGAAAAGCGAGGAATAATTTGTTAATTTACGTTGTTTATTTATGATCTACGGACTTTGGTAGATTTTTGGCAAAACACATACCTTAAATCAAATTATTCTCTCTTATTTAACCCATCGGTGCACAAAAGGCGGTTGGGCGGGCATTTACTATGCGGAGAAATTTCAATTAAAATCATAATGAAATATTTCGAAATTTGTTTTTATCAAAATTGACCCGGACTACAAATTTTGTGAATTCCTAATGCCCGAACACAAAGACAATGGCCAGGAACAAAGGCAGAGGATGCGGCATTAGTTCGGCAGGATATCACCCCACAGCCAGGCAACCGCAAAATAATTTCCCTCAGTGCCCCGAAAACAGAAAGGCTATTAGTCAGAGAAAGCCTGCTGCTCCTGGGCCATTTGAACAATAACACCGAAACATTAAAGTTCAAAATGATGACCCGAACATAATCGACTTGCCTACAATAATATTTAAATTTAATTTAAATGCTCACATGAGGGCATTTAACAGAGTCCATCCTTGGCAGTGGCGGCCAGAAACCCGCAAGCAAACAAATCGATGAGGATGTGTCTCAATCTGCCGGACAATTTGCAAAACGATATGCTTGAAAGCTCGAAATGGAAAGGTCGTTGGGCATGCAAAATGCAAAGGCAACACTTCGTCCTTCGTCCTTGGTCCTAGCTCCTGTCTGTGTGTGTGTGTGTGTGTGTGGGTTAATGCGTTTGTTGTTTTTGCGGCAGAGGGACTACGACGATAACTTTGAGTCGCATGCTTAGGAGCACAAAATGATTGGAAGAGCACAGAGGGCCCCGGTCCGGACTAATGGCATTTTATTGCTCTATCTCTGGCTCTGGTTTTGTGTATATTTCGGGGGGATTGCCATTCAAAATTAGAAGCGACCGCTATGCGCACTCGACCTTAAGACGAGGAACGTTCAGCTGGGTGCAGTAAATGACGTATAAGCCCCGACCCAGGCTTAAGTGCTTAGGGCGCTGTGAGTTAATGCGTTGATATGATGATAGCATTATCAAAATCTGAACAGTAGCTGTCTTTGTATCTGTATCTGTATCTGCAGCTGAATATCTGTACTGTTTGCTTGCGTGCCATTTGTAACTTTTGACCATTAGCTTCTGTTTTTGCGGCCAAATGGAAGCCAAACAATTGGTCTTGCTGATTTTGTGGTCTAATTGATACAAGAAGCAGACGTCTTGTCCTGTCAGCCAAAGTTACAAATGCAACCAGCAACTGACAATTGTTTTCAATGTTTTGGTCACTATCTGCTCCTGTTTTCTCCTCCACCCCCCTCCCCCTCTAGTACCGTCCACATCCAATCTATTTCAGTTGTCAGAAGCACAGTTTCTCCTGGATGCCGAATACAGCCCCCAGCTGTCAATCAGTGGGTGTGTGGACAGACAGACGTTTCTGATGCATTTGTCAGGGGCGTACGCTGCGTATGCTTAATGCCATTTGGCACACACACACACATGGAGGATCGGACTGTTGTGTGTGCTGTTTAGTTAAAGGTTTTTGTCTTCCAGCAAACTTTTTAAGCACGTCGAGCTGTTGAAACTTACGGATGCGTGTCATTGAAAGCCTTACAAAGTTGTGTCAAACGTGGAGGGGTGGCGGTGGGGAGTTACATATAGGATGCACTCTATAGTACAGACCCATAGACAGAAACAAAGGGGATAAAGAGACTGAAGATGGGGTGCTGCAAGAGCAAGAGCAAGAGCAAGAGCAACATTTCAATTTGCTGCTCTGAAACTTTGACAAGTAGCCAGCCAGTTATCAATAAGCCTGAGAGCATCATCTCAAATATGATTATACGATGCTTCAAACTTTTTCTCATGCAGTGCAACTCTTTACAGCAGCAGCAGCAGCAGATATTGCGACTGTAGCGGCAACAAACAGACATGGCCAGCCAAAGGATACGGCCAGAGGAAGGACGAAGGATGAGCGCCTGCCGACCGGGAGCCTTGCATACGGCATTCAATATGCTGGCGTTGAGCTGGATTATAATCTCAGAGTTATTGCTCAGTGGTAAGTGTTCAAAAGACCCATATATAAATGGCATATTGCAGGGTTTCCTTTTCCCCATCCGATTCCCCCCCGATTCCTCGTCAGCCAGTCTGTCATGTTAAACAAGCTGAATTTATTATGCCAACTGCGTGTGCCGGGGCGTGGTTAAATTGATTATTTAATCTACCAAATAACGGTTTATATTATGCACTGAACCACCCACTGCATCATTCCGACCAACTCTTCCGCCTGAAAGTCGGGTGAAGTAGTCAATTTATTAAATGTCCCGGGGAGGGGCGAGCGCTGGCCTTTGATTAATATTGGTTTGTTCAATTAAAGTTGCCATAATTTGGCCAACCACACGCCTGTCACTCCACTCGTTTCCCGCCAATCCCACAAATCGATGAAAAGTTTCCGAACGACATGTGAACAATTGCGAGGACAGTTCATTTATTGATTATGTCATTTTACAGGGACAACCTTTAATAAAGTGATTGGTTTATTAACAACTTATTTTTTAACAACTTTTTGTTTTAGCAATGAGGTATAAAAATCAAAAGTGTTAGTGTTTCAGTGAATCAATTAAAAGAAGATCAGAAAAACTTTTCCAACCTTTTCGCTCACTGTATAAAAGCAGTCATCTATTTACATAAGTATGCGTGTATGAAAGTTTGTACGTACCTTTGTGTTTTTTTTGAAAGTCCCGAATTGGAACCAAAAGTTAGCTAATAAATGGAAATTAACTAAAGAAAGTGTACTCTTACTCCAACAAAAGGAAAATTTAAGATTATAAAGACAACTACGCAATTAAGAAGCACAACTGTTGGCCAACAAAAAAAAACAATAACAAAAGGCGGACAAAGAGAAAGAACACAAGAAACGCTTTAAAACCTTAAAAGTTACTTGACCAACAAATAAAATAAACAAACGAGAGAGTTTACCACACTGCAAGACATAAAAATATGTATTTTTATATTCCTTTTGTTTAATTTTAACAACACACGCGGTTCACGATCTGTTTTTAATGAAGAAGAAGACAGCTGATAAACAGGGTTGCCACATGTTTCAATTAACATTTGTACTTATATATCGATAGTCACGGAATAATTTCGTTACTCAAGTCACCGTTTTTATTGGTTTTAAAAACGTATTTAAAGATTGATCCCTTATAAAATTAAATTAACTTGCCTTTTTACCTAGTTAGTTTTGCTGCAATTTAAAAATGTTGAATTCGTACACGATCTTTTTATAAAATTGAAAAATGATTTCATTTGAATATGCAATTAATGCAGAAATAACACCGCTCTTCAATTTCACACGCTGTGCTTATGCCATAATCATATTGGCATATCTCTTTAGTGGCGTTTATTTAAATTTCCACTCGATTCGGATGAGCCAAGTTTAATGTTGATAATTGCTGCAACTCGCGTTTAATTCCGCATTTTAGCCAGCTCAAATGAACAAGCGAATCGAAACCCAAATGAAATGGAATAAAATAAATGAATTGCATTACATGCAAGTCAAATTTGGGCCGAACCCCGTCTTTGTCATAAATTAACATGCAAGTGGATCCCAGTACAGATCCCTTTCCTTTGCCGCCTGGTTGGGTAATTGGGTTTTGTTTTTCGAATACATTTTTCTCTTATTTTATATACTGTCTGCCTTTTTTTCCGTTGGCCTGGGCATAATCGAATTCGAATGCGTATACGCCATGTGGGACTCGTCATTCGGCAGGTCCTACGGTTAAACGACTTTTGGGACAGCCTTTAAAATTAATGTTTTGCCACACCCCCACACTCTTTCAGCTCACTGCCTGAAGGATCTGAAGATATTTGTACCGGAGGCCGTCATCATGGGAAATGCAGCGACATTGTCTTGTCAATACGATTTGGAGCAGGTAAGCGACACTTCCTCGAGAGGAAGGAACCAGAACAAGGAACATCAGCCAAGGCAACAATACGGCGGATATTGTCGTCGGCGGCATGCTTAATTATTATAATTACTTGCACTTTGTCTTGCCGTCGACGTCTCCCGTCGCTTATTGTCCTTGCTGCTCCTGCTGCTGCTCCTTCTGCTCCTCCACCTCACTATCCACTCAGGCTTTTCATTATCGCATTTTCCCACTGTTCCTCCGCAGGCGGCACTCTACGCGGTGCGCTGGTACTTCGGCCAAGAGGAGTTCTACCGCTTCGTTCCCCGCGAGGCCAAGCCCACATTTGTCTTCGCCGTCGCCGGCATTAATGTTGATGTAAGTTAAATTAAGCATGAGATCGCCAAATATGCACTCGCGGCTCCTTTTTCTAGCTTCCAAGAAGGGTACTCCACGAAATTGTGGTGTAGTCTCTTTTTCAGGAGCTAATAGATGCTATTTCTTTTATATTTTCTATTTAAATAAAGTAAAAATTCAGGAAAACTTTAAAATTGTATAACTTTAACCACTATATATTTATAAAAGCGCTAAGGAAGTTCTGAAGTAACCATCTAATTGCAGAATTTAATCGAGATTTAGTTAAAAGCACATTACTTATTTTTTGACTCCTTAAAATATCCCTAGATATCCCTTCAACACTTACATTTATATTACATTTTTAAATTTAATACAAGACGAAACTATAGTAAAGGGCGACTCCGACCATTATAGAAAAAATAAGAGGTTCAGATCTCAAAATATACTAAAAATTGAAATATTGGCATACTCCAGGAAAAAATCAAAGAACCTAAACTGGAGCAGAGAATAGCTCTTAAAAAATATGCTTGATTTTTATACCCTTGCAGAGGGTATTATAATTTTGGTCAAAAGTGTGCAACGCAGTGAAGGAGACATCTCCGACCCTATAAAGTATATATATTCTTGATCAGGATCACCTCCTGAGTTGATATAGCCATGTCCGTCTGTCCGTCTGTCTGTCCGTCTGTCTGTCCGTCTGTCCGTCTGTCTGTTTCTACGCAAACTAGTCTCTCAGTTTTAAAGCTATCGAATTGAAACTTTGCACACACCCTTCTTTCCTTTGCACGCAGTATATAAGTCGGAACGGCCGAGATCGGCCGACTATATCCTATAGCTGCCATATAACTGATTGATCGGAAATGCCATAACTTTGGTGTTTGAAAAGTTAGGAAGTTGAAATTTTCTATGGGTTTTATATTTGGCCAACCAATCCGACCTACCAAATTTCATAAGGATCGGCCGACTATATCCTATAGCTGCCATATAACTGAACGATTGGAAATGCCATAACTTTGATGTTTTTAAAGTTAGGAAGTTGGGATTTTTTATGAGTATTAAGAATGCATCATATGAATAATTTTGGAGAATATAATTTACAGAGTATTCTGCAAGGGTATATCAACTTCGGCTCCGCCCGAAGTTAGCTTTCCTTTCTTGTTAACATTTATTTTATTAAATCGGTGCCCGTTATCTCGTAGTCTGGATCTCGATTATAAAACTGTGTTTTTAGTTTTGTTTTTGGCTCGCCTATTGTCGGCTTAATGGACAAATCACTGGAGCAGCAGGGCATGTGTTTCGTTCGGGCCGAGTTTGCATTTCAACAAATGCAAAATGGGAAATGGGAAAGCATTCAAATGTTATGCAAATATTTAAATGCGGACAATGCTGGGACTCTAGCCTCGGGCAGTTTGCTACGAGCATCTTGCCGCCTCTTTGTCCCTCTTTCGGTGTCACCCATTTTATTTCTATTGCAGTGCAATATTTGTTCACTTTTATTTACAATATTCGGTGGTGTTTTGCATTTACAAGTGTGCGTGTGTGTGTTGTCTGTGCATGAAATATTCCGCTCTACAATTTGGAAAGTGCCACAGCACACACACACTAGCAACTGACTGAAATATTGCGAAAAGTGCAAAATAGTTTATGGCGCGGCGGCTGGCAAACAAAACAAACAAATAAACATACAAGTCCGGCAGCAACAAGGAGCGGATAGAATATAACCCACCTAGTGGCGAAAAATGCTCGGCATTCGCTTTCCCGTGCTGCACTCATTAATAAAAACAACAGCCGCAAAGTAAGCGATAAATTATTCGCCCAGAGTCCAGCGTGAAAAGTGGCGAACTTTTTCCGACACCTTTTTAAAATCACCGTCCTGCTACTGACTTGGAAAATTCATTGGGCGGCAAGATGGCATGTGTTTTAAAACGTTTAAAGCGTTTCACAAATAAACAAATCAAACCTAATACGTACAAGATATATTTTCTTTTAAGGCTACCAAACACCTTCTATAGTTCATTCATTATTAATCTACATTCGATTTTTAGTTGTTATTTTTCGTCGATTTTAAAAATTGTTTTAAAAATACTTCAAACTCGATCGAATTTAAAACACATAATTATGAAGTAAAACAAAAATTTTACTTTTGATTTGGTTAATAAAATAATCCTTTAAATAAAAAACACATTGCTTGTTAGCCACCTCTGAAACACTCTGAAACTCTGAAGATAATATTTATTTGATTTAACAACCCGATAACATCTGCTATCTGCTGATGAAGTGCTTGTACTCAAATAACCAGCCAGTGTAACAGCGCCGATTTCCGAGGGCTGTGAAAAACGAATCGATTGTCGTATAATCATAAATAAATAAAATTGAATTTACCATGAAAAATTTGTGTGGACGAAATATAAATTGAAAACTCATTCGTCCGCACATAAAACTGCAAACTCATTTACAAACACTTCGGGCCACATTTTTCAAATGCGCCAAAAGGGGGAACGTTAAATAATCATAAATAATGGCATAAAGCGAGGGCGAATGATGGAGTAATGTTTGTTTTATGTAAGCGAAACAAAGCAAAATCGAGGGATGCTCCATAGAAATAATTTGCCCCGGCTTCCGTTTCCTGTCTGCTCCCCATTCCGGCCAATATCTATTGGTCTTTTGGGCCATCTCTGCTATGTCGATAATGGCGTACTGGCCACATCAATCAGCGTGGGACTTGATTAATTTGCTTTGATTGTGTCTTTAATTTGCACTGCGAAACAAAAGGAGAGGAATAAGCGAATACGGCCAAATAAAACGAAATAAAAACGGAATAAAATACAAATAAAATAAAGGGGCCTTGCTCAGATGTTAATTTGCCACTAATTAGCATTCAAAGGCATTTTTGCACTAATTAAATATTTCGATTGCAGTGGTCCTTGGCGTTTTGTGGGCGTGGCTGTGGGCAGTGGGCGGGCGTCAAGCTATGCGTGTTAATTATTTCCCTCGATTTTTTTTCTTCCACCACCGATTCGTTCTCTCTTTTCGATTTTATTTGGCCTTACATAGCCAGCGAATTGGAAACTATTCAAAAACACCAATACACACAAACGCACACATACAAGCCAATGGCATTGAGGTTAATGTGAAAATTTTTGTAGCCTACTTATGGCAGCTCGGCTGCATCAGATGGAAACTCATTTTAATTTGAGCAAATTTCCACTCCACTCCCGATGCGAAACTGCTTGAGATTCAATCAGCCGTGAACCGCAAAAGGTGAAAAGCGTAAGAAAAGATGGGAAATCCGAGTGGTGGAGCCGGGGCTTTGGTCGATTGCATAATGCAAATGATTTAGCCAGCGTGCTCGCTGTGCAATTAAGTTTGAAGGTTGGCCATAGTTTTTAGACCACCAATCCCCCCACCTCCCCTCCTACTCCATCATGATGAGGCCATGTTAAAAGGTGGCTTTTGAAAAGTGCAAAAGTGCAAAAAAGAAAAAAAAAACAGAAAAGGGGAAGGGAAAAAATGCTCTACACCCCAAGGCAGCAACAAATCGAAATGAGGCACCATCACCCAGCGCAAGCAGCTGTGTTTTCCAACTTAAATTGATAGTTGCCGGCACACTAACGAAGGCAAACGGCAAACGTCAAAGGCCAGGCCACAAATGGAAATGGAATTTTTAAGTTATGCCAAGGCAACCGGGTCAAATGAAGAGGGCGGGAGCTACGAAATTGTGGCAAGTGCCTTAATTGAGATTAAAACATTATAACTTGACTTGTTTTACTTTTGCTAAATCATTTCAAACAGCTAAACACGCTTAATGAGAAAAGTTACGACCGTGCCAAGTTGTCGGCCATTATGCATATGCATATGTGTGTGTGTGGGGTGTGGGGTGTTTTGGGATGTGCGAGCATGTACGGGTGTGGGGGCGTGTCGTAGGTGTGTGGAGTGGGCGTGGCACATAAAGCATCGAGCACTTGAAAGGCAGCTGCATGCAGCCGCTGATGATATCCTGCCGCTGACATCCAAAGGCACTTGTGGGCGTGGCCGTTCCAAAGTGCACTCGTGTCGTCCACTTGAGCGTTATTGGAATGTAAATGTATGCATATTAAGGCGGTGGGCAGGAAGTCACCGCCGAGTCGCGTCGACAAAACTTCAAAAGTCATTCAGCGAGGCAAAGCAACAGCCACGCCTCCAGCCCCTATGCATCCAGCACTTGAAAAAAAATATACACTTCAGGAAAAATGTTAATTTGATAAAATGTTAAAAGGTTCTAGACTAGTTTTCTATCGCCACAAATAATTAATAATAATTTAATTAATCCTTTAAAACATGCATTGAAAAACCATTTAATCAATTTAAGATCATTTTTACCAATTGATCAACTATTTTAGCATAGACTTAGATACATTCCCATTGAAAGCTTAAGTTTATGCGGTTCGGTGAATAAATTATCTAATCTCATTAACCATATTTTAATGGCCTTCCTTTCTTTAAGTGTACTACTTTACTCATGTCAACGGGGACAACGGCGAAAAAAAAGTGAATACATGAAAACGAAAAGGGGGAAATAAACAGGAAAACCATCATGTTAAATGTAATTAAATTTTTAATTTAGAGACAGCGCTCGCTTCGCTGGCAATCTTCAATTAAAAACACAATTACCATGGCCACCCGCTGAGCGGGTTGAGGGTCATCCGCCGAAAGGGGGGGAGGGGGGAGGAAGGAGGGGGATGCTGAGTGGGACAGGAATAGGATATGCCAAGTGCTCCAAAGTTTTGCGGCTTATTCATTGTCCGCCACAACAATAAAATCGCCAGCCGAGAGGCCTCTGTCTCGCTTTCTCTGCCATTGGCTTCTGGATCCTTTTTCCCGCACTCTTCCTCAGCTTTTCAACGCTTTTCCCCGCTTTTCCAGAGTCGAAGGTTCCAAAAATTTGCGCCCCGAAAACTTTTTGCACACTGTCAACACGGAAGGAATTATTCCGCATTAAGTTTGCGGTAATGGCAGCCTCACACACACACACACACACAGTGTCCTTTTGGCTTTTGCGGAGTGTCCTGGTTGCTGGCGCGTTTGCTTTTAACATTGTTAATAACCCGACACGCCTCGCATTTATGCACAGCAATGTGCGCTTAAAATTAATGCACTTGCCACTGGGAAATTTCAGTGGAGGTCGAAAGGGAAATTGGGCGACAGAAGTGACCAAAAAAGTTGCTCTGTCCTGGGAGCCTCATAGTCTATGGCCTAGGACTGCTGATTTGAATGTACTCCCCAGGGCTTCTTTTTTGGGCTTCTTTGGGCAGTTGTTAATTAGATGCACCAGACAGGAGAATGAGGCGGGAATTTAGTGGTCGCAGGGCAAGGCATCTCTTTTTGCCGAGTTTTCCAAACGAGTTCCGAGGGGCTAAATGGATTTAATTCAATATGGCAAGGTAGGTTGCTTAATTAAAAGTTTAAAATTTATTCTAAAACAATTCCTTGTATTTCTTTAGGATTTTGTTGTTTTTTTAATTTGAGTTTTTAATCATCAAAGTAAATACTCAGAGTTTTTATAATTCTGTCATATGTTTATAGGAAATACAAAAAAACGGATCCTTTTAATAAAAGAACCAAGTTACTACCTTAATATTGTTTTTTTTCAACTTTAAAGTTCCTAGTTATTTTCCAATTAAAGACTTACTTCTACACATTTTTCAATTACAAAACTAAAGAAATTAATGTGGGCAAACTAAAACATATTAATTGTAAAGACTTTCCGTCCTCGTATGTAATTTCTTGAGTTTTCCGACTCACTGCTTACATTCCCAGGCGACTCTAATCCCTATACCTTCAAAGCTCCCCTGTTTTGAGAGTTCCCTTCAATTTCCTTTAGCCACTCAAGCCAGTCACATGCAGGCACTTTCCCAGTCCCCTTTTTTAATGCCATTTTGTTGTTTACGCCGTCGTGGCGGCCTTGGCTAGAAATTGTTGTGTGTGACAAATGGCAACAAATAAACATAATAAATAAAAATGCGAAATGCATTCGTGAAGTGTGCCCACCAAGCTCGCCGGAATCGCAGAGTGTAACTAGCTGGGTCCGTCCTGTGTCCTTCTGGCCACCAAAGTGGCATTGGTTTGGGGGTGGAGTAAGGGGGTTGAAGTATTGTGGGAGGTGGCAACCACCCATTCACATTGGCGTGCTGTTGTCTGCCTGCGCCAACAATGAGCACAATAAAAAGCCATGCATTTTCCAAACACCAAAAATTGTTCATAGCAACTGCTCTGGCAGCAGAAGAAGAATAACAACCGCACCGGAAACATCTCATTCACTAAATTTGTGGTCGGTTTTTGCCAAGCGTTAGGCAGTCGAAGTTGTGAAATGCCAACGGCAACTGGAAAATTCGGTGTTGCGCGCGGGGCGGGGGAAAAGTGGGTGGCCTGGGAAATTGGTTGGGAGAAGGGGGAGGAGGCGTTACAACAAAAGCTCGAGGCAACGGAAATTCGGCATGACATAATACGTGCACATGCGAGTGTGTGTGTGGCGGAGAATAGGAGTGCGAGTGTGTGGTTGTGTGGCCGCGACTTGAGTTGATACAGCAATAATTCATAAAGTGTTGCATGCAAACGAGGATAGGATGCTGCAGCTGAGCCAGGCTGCTCACACAGATACTCCATGCCCTATACTCCACGAGTATGTGTGTGTGTGCCGCATGCGACAGCGTTGGCAAAATTAAAATTGCTGCACAACAAACAGCGGAAACTCAGCGAGGAGCCAGCAGTCGCAGGAGGAAAAGGAAAATGGCTGTGGGAAAATGCAGGGAAAATGGGAAAAGTGAGCCAGTACTAGGGGGCACTGCAATGAAATTCATTGTATTCTTACAACTCGACGACTCTGGCAGCTCAGCTCAGCCCGGCCAGAGAGCTTTTTTGCAGTAAAGTTATTATTTCATAAAGCCAGAATTATTGAAACAATACTTTACTCTCACACATGGGTTGGAGGGGTTGTAGTCTGCAAAATAGGGGGGAAAACTCCTGTGTGTGTTTGGCATGCAAAATTACGCTTTAGTGGCGTCATTTCTTCTTTTTTTTTATTTGCCCATGCCAGAAAGTTGCAGCTGCGGCTGCTAAAGCAATATAAAATATAAATAGAAATTAAAAGCCAACAAATAAAAATAAATAAAAACGGAAAACGGAGTGGGCCGAGTCGGAAAAAAACTTTTCACGACAAACGCAACTTGAGTTGAGTTTTCCCTGCCTTTTCTCATCGCTTTTTTTCTCGTTGTTGTTGACTGCCCGGAGGAGCAGTTACAAAATGGCTACAGTTTCATGCGAGCAAACTAAAAGGACATGTGGGTGTGTGTGTGTGGGTGTGTGTAAGCAAGTCGGCTGGGCATATCATTCCTCAAAATGGCAGACATTTGCGTTTGTTTGGCGCGCTTCCTGGCGCTGCCACTTCCGTTTCCGCCGCAAAGAGCCACCGAGAGTACCAACAAATAAAGTCACATGCAATTAAATAAATATGACAGTCGCAGCAGTCCAAACAACAAGAAAGAGCCCGGCCCACAGCAGCATGAAGTAGTTGGATAAATAAAACGGGACAGGAACAACTTTTCCGTATATGTTTGATTACATAATTAGTGTCATTTAATTAGACGGGGTTGAAATACCCTAAGGCGCAGTGAAAGCGGGAAAACCGTCGTGTTTGTGTGCTCAGAAAAACATACTTGGAAATATCTATCAAATTAGCCACTTGTGTCAAACAAATATTTAATACAACTTTGTTAAAAGACAGGTAATTCATAAATAAATAAATCTTAAAATTGTAGCTCAGAAGATTTTTTGAAAATTCGTTAAAACTTAAAATGTGTATCTTACAAGTGGCAATCTTGCTTTGGCATTTCACAGACTTTTTTGTAACGATCATTTATTTTTAAACCAAATGAATGCTTAAAAAAACTTATGAAATTTAATGAATTTATTATTTTACGTTACTCAGAAGCCTACAATATTTTCTGAATTGTCTTTTGAATTCTAAACTATCTTAAATTACAGACAAAATATCAATTGGATCTGCTTAATCGACATGTTGATTGAAAAATACATTTGCTATTTCTGATAAATAATTATAACTGTTTCAATCGATTTTTTTCAATACGTAAGCTCACTATTGTGTTCTGAAAAGTTAAAATTGCACAACTTAAATATTTATTCAAAAACTAATTCGATGGCTTGGCCAAGCGGTGCACTGTTAGCTTCATAAGTTGCCGTCCGCCATAATTCATGTGAACCAATCCGAAATCATAATGTATCTCTGGCCCAGTGCACATTATTCATGCCCCCGACCACGCCCCCTTTTATGCATATAGAGAACCTTATCAATACGTTTCGCATTTGTTTTCATTTTACGATTGCGTAACGAGATCAGCGTCGTCGACAAATCCGAAAGCCACTAAAACCACAGCTCGCCAGGGGCCATTGGTTAGGAGCCACGATGCCATTCCATGGCCAATATGCCAATTGGCAACCGCCAGTAAGCAGGGGCGTGCGGAAAAAGGGATGGAGGGGGGGGTGGTTTTATACCAAGGGGGATCGTAGTAGATGCCTGGCGGCCCTTATCGACGGTGTTATCTGCGAATGAACTGGCACAACTAGCTGGAAAGAAAACAACAAACTAAATAGGAAAAGCCAGGCCAAGCCGAGCAATGCGCCAAAGTGTTGAAACAATCGTAAAAAGCTGTTGTTTGCCACGGGGCACTAGAAAGGATGGTGGTGGGCGGTGGTTTTGGGTGGATGCTACTCTCTGCAGAAGGATATGCCAATAGCAATAGGAGCGACCGACCAACAACAGCCGTGCCGGGATTAGTACAGATGCAAATGAACAAAGCGATGGCAACGTTCGCGCTCTGGCTTTGGTGGCATATGCAAAACTCGAATGGGTTGCTCTCGTTGCTGCCTGAACTTAAATACAAAAGGCCAGGACTGCGATAAAAGGACCCAGCTCACACACACACACACAGCTACACACAGAACACACACACACGGTAATCGCGAGTGGTTCGCTGCTGAAGTGGATTTTGAGTAGGATATTGCACAACTGTTTGCCAAGTGGCAAGCGCTTGCTGGCAATTAACAGAATATGCTAAACTGCGACAACGAGAGCGGCTCGAAGTCTGAGTGGTTTCGATCCTTGCATACCCTATTTACAGGGTCCACGAAGGGTGGTTTCACCCAGCCAGCATACCCCGACCAATGGGAATTTAGCTTCTGGTACTTACTCATGCTCCGGTGATTACCAACAAATGCGTTCCCTGCGCTTTTCACTGGTGGATTTGGGAATGGCGATCTCCCCGACCATCCAAAAAAGAAACCTGCTGAAAGATGCAGCTAAATTCGTTTCATACATTGGCAGTAACATCCCCTGCTCACTGGAAGAAGAGTTTCACTTTTTAAAGGTTATGTTGAAATCCTTAAAAATCCGTTAAATATTGGAATTTGTTGAGAGGGAACATAATGCTTCTCTTTAATTAATGGCGATTTGAAAAAACATTCGTAATTCTAGATAATTTGGTCTAAGGTGTTTTAACATATGAATAGTATTATATGGTATGAATTTTTGAGTCTGTTATTGGAAATTTAATAATAACCCTTGAAGCTCTTAGAAAAGTTAAATATTCTATATTTCAACTCGATGGTTAAAATTCATTGTTTTTCCAACTTTTGGAATCAATATTATTAATATTATTTTAAGAAATATCAATAAAATTAATAAAAGGGTTTATATTATAAACACTCTAAATTTTCTCGGTGCATTGGCTTGTGATTGCATTGCCACATTCTTCCGATGGTGTAGTAAACCTTATTTCCATCTGTTTACTTTCAGCTCACCAATTCGGATGCCACATCGGTGACCCTGAAAGGAGTCACCCGGGAGCTGAGCGGCACCTATCAGTGCGAGGTCTCCGAGGACGCACCGCTCTTCCACACGGAGATCCGCTCGGCACACATGCAGGTGATTGAGCTGCCCAAAGGCGATCCTGTCTTGCAGGTGGACAAGAAAGTGATCGGCATCAACGACAACTTCAAGGCTGTGTGCACGGTGGGGCCTTCGTATCCGCCGGCGAACATCACCTGGACCGTCAACGGACGCGAGGTGAGTGGGAGGACATTAGGGGATATACACGCGGTACACTCCACATTATCATTCGAAAACAATACATTTCGGACTTATGTTAAATATGTTATGTTAAATAAGTTATGTTAAATATGTTATGTTAAATATGTTATGTTAAATATGTTATGTTAAATGTGTTATGTTAAATATGTTATGCTAAATATGTTAAATATGTTCAATTAATTTTATGTTCGTAACAGAAATTTCTTTTTACCGATTTCAGCTGTTATAATTAGTTATTTAAAATTGGAAAGATGCTAACCATATTATAACAGTTTCTTAAATTACATAAGAATGCCTTATCCTATTACCAAACTTATCGCTCACAAAATATAATGTAAAATCACTTGAATTTAGGTTTCAAATTCCTTTCCAGCCTTATTTGTGGCAATGTTGTGATATGTTTGTTCTTTTTCACTGCTGACTGATGTGTTTCCTGTCTCCCTTCCCAGATCCACAAGACTCCGCTGCAGCGCATCACGCTGGACGCCTTCGACGGGTCCAACACGTACTCCTCGCTGGAGATGTTCCCGAACAGCCAGGCCCTGCAAAGCTTCTTCGCGACGAACTACCAGCACAGTGTGAAGGTGCAGTGCGGCGTGTCCATTCTGCACGTGTTCCACAAGAACGTCGAGGTGCGGATCGGGCTGAACCGGGCGCCGGCGACGACCATATCGCCGAATCTGCTGGGACTGGAGGGATCCAAGCGGTATGCCAACGGCGATCCTGACAACTCGGCGCTAACTGGCGCCTCGCAGCGCTGCTGCATCTGTTGCGAAGCTCTGGGCGCCATTTCGCTGGCGATTTTTACATTAACGGTGGCGCAACTGTGACCGCAGCCCATCGCTTAAACCGTTAATGGGAAATGATGAAAACGCAGCCGGACAGTCACCTCCAAGGAAGAAATAATTAAAGAATAACACTCGAAACGCTGTTCGAACATATGAAGCGTGTTTAATTGCGAAAGGAACAACAACAACAAAAAGGAAATGCAAAAATCAAAAGCGAAAAAAATTTAATAATTATGGGAGCGGGGAAATTCGTTGGCGACAGCGACCCTGCATTGTCAACGCCTAGTAGCATGTCCTTGTATTTTATATATATTTTTTTTCATTTGCCTCATTCGCCATACAAAAACAAAAGCAACTGGGTCGCAGTCCAAAAGTTCAAAGCGAAGGAATATTTTTAATGCATTAATTAATTTGCGGTGGCTACATACAAAATTCTGATAATAACAATACATTAAACATAAGTCACCCGGGCCTGCATTTCCACACAAGCTCGGGCAAAGGTCGAAGGGAAGGTTAAAGTAATAATAGTAAAAGTAAATATATAGCGTAAATTTAAAACATAACAAGCGTAATTGCATGTTATGTATGGAGGCGGGATGTTGAACTCTTCGTAAAAAAAAAACAAAACAAAACGCCTGCAGACAGACGGAAGTATAGAAAAAATCGAATCCATAAATTTAAATAAATTAACACATGCACTTGCAAACAAAACTTGCAAAACAAATTACATAACAGAAGAAAAACAACAATTAATAAGCATAAGTGACACACATTTAAATACTAAGTACACCCTACCCTCCAACTACCGCAGCCTAGGCACATAAGTAATGTAAATAATTACTGTAAAGAACTCAAATAAAAAACAAAACGACATAAATTAATAAATTAATAAATACGAAACCCTCACATGGGCAAACATTAATTAAAGCTAGAGCAAAGTGTGGAGAAAAGTTAAATACAAAACTAATTAAGTCCTTATGAAAAATCAATGAAATCAAAAAACTCAAAAATGGATATCGGCCAAATTCAGTTTAATTGAATTTGTTTTAATTTCATTATGGCTTATTTGCGCTATCGTTTTGTCCATTTTCTGCTAAAAGTTTCGTTTCCGTTGAACGGTTTGCGTTGGCAGCATAACATGTACTTTGTTTTAGAATAAATTTACATGAATACATGCAAAATATATATATTTATCGAATAATAAATGTCGAGACGAAAGAATTTAGTGCGTATATGTTAGTTGGAAGATGTTAAGAGTATATTCTGCCGAAGTAACTACAAGTAAATCCAAACTCCTTGGCCAAAGGACTATTTTTAGATGTTCATGCGCAGCGCAAGGCTCAAATATCGATTCAGGTTGCGTTTGATTGTACATCGTGCTCTGCATAGACATGTATTTCTCATCTAAGATACGCAAATTTGGATGCGTTTCCAATACCAGTGTGTAAGCCCAAAATGCAAAATATTGTAAATCAAAACAAACAACACAAAACGATATGATTTTAGCAAGTTGTGGCAGGTCAAAATAACTGAAACACGAACTAAACCTAACTAAACTAAAAGGCAACTCTAATAATAAAATGTAAAATCAAACTTAAATACAGGAAAACGAGGAAATAATTCAAAACAAATAAGAGCCGAGCAAATGAGTCAACACAAGAGGAAATTATATATTAAATATGCATAATTATGGATAATTTAATGCGAGTTAAGCAAAGCCAAAAAGGTCAAACGAAATCAAACCACACAGAAACCAACAAACAACAAAGTGCACGCCGATGTGGGCGTGAAATTTAGCTCAAAATTAAATGCGATAATGGCAAGAATTATATGACGAAATAAATAAATAATACAAAATGTAGAAAACGTGTTTCAATGCTATTCGAAGGGGTGGAAATTATACTTTAGGTGCGCATAATTAAAGGCAATGATCCCCGTTATTAACACGCCCTCCAAGGATGCAAGGATGCCACTGACGAAGTTGGTCCTTGTTCCTCGCGTTTGGCCAAACAACAGCTGCACTTACATGCAACACCAGCTAGCAACTGATGCTGATACCGCTGACACAGCCGGCGAGTGCTGAACACACAACAAGGGATCTGGTGCTGGGGTCCTGGGAACAGGAACAAGGACAGGAACAGGACGAGGAACAGGACGAGGAACAGGACGAGGAACAGGATGAGGACCAGTACCAGGCCATCGCCATCGCCATCGTCTCATGTTTTGTAAATTAAGCAAACAAATTAAGTGCACTTGGCGCCCGGCGCTCGCATGCACACTCTGGCCCCATGTAAACACATTGTGATTGTAACAAAAGCATATATATCAAAGCACGTACACGGTGGGGTGCTACGCATCCCTTTGCGTTCGTCCTTGAGCAAAGCTGCCGCTCAAGGACACCGGGCGCACCCCGTTAGTTTGTCTTAATTAGTTGCAGCAACAGTGGGAACGCCACATCCACATCCACATCCACAACTGCGGAGCAAAGGCCACAGAATGGCAACGAGGTTGCGACCCAGCAGCACAGGTAAGCGCTCGTATTATTTACAAGCCATTGGCTGCAGCCAAGACCCAACCACAATTTCAACTTTGCCTGCACCACCCAACAACCACCCACCCAACCCACAAACTCAACCCTATCGCCATAATTGTGCAGTCATCGTGCTGTTTAAAGTTTTACACGTAACCATATTGCCAAAGAGCTCACCGCGCACATACGGCGTATGCGTAACGCAAAATGAGTAGGCAAAATGCTCAGACATTACACATACGTGCTGGGGGTGAAACTCAAGACGAGACCTCTCCAATCCTCTTCAATACTGCTGACACAGCTACTAAGTAAGCACGTGGATTATTCTGCTGAGTAAATCAACTATAATTACACTCGACAACATGGCGGCAAAACCTATTTTACCGATGGATGAAGAAAGAAAGATGAGGCAAGAAATGTCTGTTATTTAGCTGGTTGCACCTACATATGTGCAAAACTACACACAAAGTTTCGAAACTCTAACTTTACCATAGAGTAGAATTTACATTTCAGTTTCCATTTAAAATATTCACCTTTTATGCGTGAAAATTTCAGTTCGCAACCAGTCAGATTTTAACTTTTGAATTATTTAACTAGAGCATTCTGAATCTAAGTAATTAACGGTGGACGATTTTTTAAAATACTTGAAAATAATAAAAGCATTAGTAATACACAAAGTATATTTTTTTATATCTTAGATAATCAATGTGTCATTAATATTATATGGAATGTTTTAAAATAGACAGTGCTTGTCTTTATCTTACTTGAGCTTTCTAAATAGTGTTTATAAATAGTGTTTAATTAAGGAACAAGTTTATTAAAAAGTACGTAATCTAAATATTATCAATTTTAAAGTGACTTAATGTTCCTGCTACCTTTCTCATCACTGTTTTAAACTTGGCTGAAATGTGTTTCCGATTGGGATGGCACAACTATATACATAGCTGATGCTAATCCGAGTCGCTCTGCGGGTAAGCCAATACTAATGCAAATGCGACATTTTAATTAAATGCGTATCGGGCTACAAATAATGCAAATGGGCTGTGCTGGGATACGGCACTCCAGCAGCAAACCCTTGCCAAAAACATCAGCAAAATGAGTTGCATATTTTGAAGCATGATCTCTCGCTCCCTTCGAAGCGTAACTCCGAATTCCAGGACAATGTTTCACAGCCTCCGCTCCTGGGGGGCGTGGCAGCGCCGAATGATTTGGTTTATGGTCTCTGCATGCATTTAACAACACAAAATGTCGGCAGCCAACACAGTGGCCATTGGTTGAACGGCCAGCTGACTGGCTGGCAGGACGAACGCAAAAACATTGTTAAAATACAGCAACATTTTTGGATTTATAGCGCGCTAATCGCGGCCAAACAGCAAATGGTAGTGGGCGGACGAGTGGGCGGGGGTCTGGCATTCCGAACTGTAATGGAAATTGAAATGCAAATGCACGGCATGACATTTACGAGTGCTTCTGCAGTAGCAGCAACATCAGACAAGCGCCAGTACAGCCTCTGCCAAAAACTCAACAATAAAATGTTGCAACTAAATACACGGAGAGAAGATCAAAAGATAGATCTTAATAGTATTCAAAAGTTAGTGGAAGGCTGTGCTAATAAATTCTTGAAGCAATCCAAAAACTATCAACTTATTTATAATGTTAAAAGTTGAGGGGCATACACAAGTTTTTTCTTGAATATGGAAAATATTTCTACAGTCCGAATATTTTACAAAATCAATAATGGTATCTAAATCTAAAGTTTACTTACAAATATTAGTATCTAAATCTATAGTTTAATTACAAATAAATGCATAATCAGTAACAACGGTGTTAGAGTAATATTCTCTTTTAGGATCCCGAAAATTTGTTATAAGTAAAATGTTTTCAATACTTTCTCTCGGTGTACAAATGCGGCGCCCGTCGCTGAAATCGACGTGCACTTGGCAGGCCAGTCGGCTTACTTGGCCGGCATTGTGTTTTCATTTCGCAAATGCAAAACAAGACGCTGCCGGCCACGCCCTCAAATCGCGACAGCCCATAGATTTATGGGCGAACAATTAGCGAAAGAAACAGATTTTAGCTCGGAGAACAATATTTATTCATGGCATTAGTCCTATTTCAGGCATGGTCCACGAAATGAAGAAGTCCCGGGCCAAACGTTTTATGGCATCAGCAGGAGCGAACGCCCCGAAAACTGGTGATGAGCATCTTTTATGACAACCATCCGACGCCTTGGACATGCAGCTGACGGGAACGTGATGAATGCAGCTCCCAGAGACGACGTTGCATCATAAATTCAGCCAGTGACGTTTAGCAGCATCCCGGGATATACCCGAACCCGGCTGGAAATCCACAGCCAGAAGGTGATGGCGATGTCGGTGCCATAATGCAGCAGCTACGTGCATTCCATTTGACTTTGATTCGAAGCCATTGATCAAATCAAGAAGCTTTAAGCAATAAATTCTGAATTCAAAACTAGCAAATAAACACTTATTATAGCCTTTGTGCTGCGTGTTCGAACTCCAAAAGTTGAAGTGGAGCAGAAACTTCTAGCAATCGTTTGAGCAAATTGACTTTGCTTGTTTTGTCAGCCGTTGTTTGGCCTGGAAATTTGTTAATTCTGCGTTGAATTAAGATAAAATCTGCTTACACTGGCTTATGAAACCAAACATCTACTCAATCCCCCGCCAAACGGAAAAAGCCCCCCAACTCCACCAAGCCAACCCTTTTATTCGGGGAAAACTCTTTTGTTGCTGGCAGGAGGAGGGGGGAGGGGGAAAAGGAAAGGGGGTGGGACCTTCCCCTGATTGTTTTCAGATTCCGAGCACAACAAGAGCAACTCGGCTACAGTTTATTATTTTTGCTCATCAGTGGAGCCTTCTTCAACTTTCACTCCCACTTTGGCATAATGTTGTAGGCACTTTTTCGACTGGTCGGAGAAGCCTTTTCAGCACCAACAATTTGTAGCGCAGAGATTAAAACTTTTAATTTGCTTTTAATTAATTAAGTTGAAAATCACAGCTGAAAGTCACTGGAATCCTCGCCCAGCTCTCGTTTACACGCTGCACGCTTCACCAGTTGCCAAAGAGTTGCGCCCAACCCCAAAATAAGTGTTTTACATGCCTTGTCGTTGATTTTGCGGAAATGAAAGTTGAATTTTCATAGGTGTTTAACTTGCTGGGCAAACTCGTTTACCTGCCGCTTAGTTTGCCAACTTAAATCGTGTTTTGTGCAATTTAAAGGCTCTCCAAATAAGTTTTTGGGTCCAACTGACTTTCCTACTGACTTGGCTGGAAACATTCATCGAAGTAGAAGTGGAAAAGTTCTTCCCCAGTCGGACTAGCCATATGCAATTCAATTTGCATGGTGGCTTTGGAATCAGAAACAGATAATGGCCAAATAAGGAAAATCTCCAGCCGAGAGTTTTGGTTTAGCTATAAGCTAATTGAAAACTTTATTCGATCATGGTTTCCCCCGGAAATTGCCCTGCTTCGGCTGAGTATCAAAATATTTTCTGCCCGGTATGTTCAACATTTTCCCCGAGCTTTCTTTTGTGCCGCCCTTTTCGCCATTCACGTGGAAGCAGTCAAGGCGACTGCTGATGCCACCTGATACACGCAGCTGCAGCTTTTGGGCCAAAAGCAGGTTACACGATGGTTACAACACTCGATGCAGTCGATGTCCGCTGCCTTTAATGTTTCCTTTTTTTTTAGCTGTTGCCTTTTGCCATATATCTTCGGCGGATTGTCAGTGCGCTCGAAAGAATCTGCTCTTTCAAGTCGACTTCTGCCTCATGGGCACACAGAGGAAAAGTATTAAAATCACAGCTTAAATTGGCTTCTATAAGCAAGAGGAAAAAACAAGCATTTAAACATAAAAATGATATTTCTCAGAAATTATACATTATACATTTTTAAAATACCTACCATGAAAGGCGAGTTAGATTTTTTATTTTTTTAAAGCTTTAACATTCTTTATTGTTCAATTGTACGTATACACAAT